CTGCGGCGTGCAGGGGGAGGAGGCGAGCGCTGCCCTGCGCGGGGACTGGGGCGCCGGGTGCTGGGCAGCTGCAGCCGGGTCACCGATGCGGTGGCGCCCGCGGACACGCTCGGGATGGAGGAATGGAGAGGCCCGGGATACTTAGAGAGCGCGAGATTGGCGGGGAGGGCTCCTGGCGTTGTTTGTTTATGAAGATCCTTCAGTCATTGCAGCTGTCCCCCTTGAAAGGTTGGAGGTGAAGATAGAGGGCATAGTGTTGAATTTCTATAAGGCCCCTACACACCGTCAGGATGGCCCTTCTGTTTTCTTGGGGAAGGATGTGAAGGTGGGAGAAGTTCCTGCTGCTGTGGGCAAAGGTATCTGGAAGCAGATGCCACCGTAGGATGGGGGAAGGGAGCGTCCAGTGCTGTAAATTGACAGAGAAGAGCGTTCTGTCGTTGCTCTTGGCCTGATAAGCATCCTCTGTTGTCTTCATTATAAAGGACCCAGCTTGCTTTAGGGTGTGTGAAAGATAAATGTGAGAAAATAATTCCTGGAAAAAAGGGAGATGAAAAACATGACATAGGAAAAGCAAATTTATAAGGGTGAGATGGGAATTAAGTTAATGTCGAGGGCTATGACAAGTCTCTCCCTCTGCAGAAAACAACGAAGGAGAAACAATTTGTGGTTTGGATTGAAGGACACAGAAGAGGTTGAAATATTCCGGGGTTAGTAGGGGCTTAAAGTGTGTGTGTGTGTGTGTGTGTGTGTGTGTGTGTGTGTGTGTGTGTGTGTGTTTAATGCATCAGATTCTGGCAAGAATATAATTCTCATTTGAGCATGGAAAATGTTATTAAAATATGGCTAAGAAGATTATTTGGAAAAGTCTGACCATACTTAATATTTTATATAATGTTACCTAGAATTTCTGGAGTTAGAAATCACATGTTTTTTTGTTTTTTTGTTTTTTTTTGTTTTTTAATAATAATCGTTGGTATCATGCAGGTTGGAAAGCCAAAAAGCTAATGTAAATCAATATATGCTCTTTTAAGAGTAAAAGGTAGCTTCCAATTTTAGTGTGTGTAAATAAAAACAATGAATTTAGAGTGTGACACTCTTTTATACTAATTAATTTCTTTTATCTCTATCAATTCTTTAATACTTAGAATTGTCTTCTCTTTAAAATAGTTTGTATTGTTTATGAAAAATTATACATGCAATATTCAAACACTATAGAAAGTAAAAAAGGAAGCAAAAATGAATTCAAATGTATGAGCATGAGATAACCATTTTAACACTGTTAAATATCCTTCAAGATACTGTTCTAAACATAGATTGATATACTGTGCAATTCATTATCATTTTATAATACTACATAATCATAGGATCAGAAATATTGCATAGTTATTTCTTTATACCAGATTGGGGTCTTATTTGCTATCATTATCTTTTAAACTAACAATTTACCGCTAAATCATCAAAAAGTATGTAATGACTTATAACCACATAGGATTGAGCAATGAGAATCGAAGTACAAATTGAGTAGTAATGGTCACACCCCTTAAAGTGTCATGTAGTTAATTATTTGCTTAAAAAATGTAATTGTTTTCTTGTTCTTTCTTGTAGATCCATCTCCTGAAATTTAACTTTTCAAGATGAAGTTTTTATTGGCGATTGCCTTTTTTATTTTAATTTCCTTGTGGGTTGAAGAAGCCTATTCTAAAGAGAAGTCTTCAAAGAAGGGGAAGGGGAAAAAGAAGCAGTATCTATGCCCATCGTATGTTCTGCATGTCTTATATTCTTATATGGAGAAATGTTATTGCATTTTTTTAATCAAAGTAAGGTGATTTATTGAAACATGTATCAACAGAACTTTTCATATCAGAATATATACCCATTTGTTTCATAGGTAGAAAATGATAGGCTGAAGAGAGGTTTAGAACCTGAACGCTAATTCCCAGTGTTAAAGGTAAAGTTTTACAAAGTTTTGTTTATGCCCTGGGCTTATACATTTTTATATATCTTTTATAAAAGTGGAAAAAGTTACTATTCTTTCTTACCCTAAATGTGCACCATTAACTGGATACTGAGATTCCATGTTTTGACCAAATACAAGTTCAAAAGTTGATTTAAAAAATACTCCTGAAATGAATATTCATTTAAAAACTCAGCTAAACTCTGATTTTAAAGTCTAGTTAGTTTATATTGACGCACAGCACAAGAAAATTCACTTGGTGGATCACTTTTTCTATTTCTATATATATATATATTTGGTAAAGGACTTTTATATTAGGAACTTAGGTTAGTTCTCAAACAATAGGTCATTAAATTTGAAGTTACATGTAAAACCAAAACCTAAATCCTAATCACCTACTTCCTTCTACAAAAAACCCCAGACTTTTGTGTTTTGTACTCTTTTTAAAAAAATAGGAAAATATTATTACTGAATAATAGCAAATAATATCCAATAGAGCAGTTGAACAGTATATACATAAATAACTTTGACAAAATATAATGTACTTTTAGGTAATTAATACATACATGATCTGGAAGAAAAATTAAATTTGCTGTTACAGGTCATTTTTAAATTAAGAATTTTTAAATGCCATGTTGATCACAGGTAATATTATTCCACATCATCATTATTTGAATGTGGATTATTATAGTTTTATAGATGTTCTGTTAGAGATATTAAGATACATCTTGGGAAGTATATTTCATAAAGAAGGGATATTAGGTTTGGTATTTTGGAATGGATATATGTATGGATATGTGAGACTAAAAGTCTGGAGACAGTATTAATCTACATAAAGTCTAGCATTAAATGAGGCTCCCTATTAAGAAATACCTCCTGGTTTTCAGCTTTAATAGTCCTGTTTATTCCAGTGCTACACAATCTGATGTCTGGACCAGATTTCTGGGTATGTGAAGAAACAGCTCTGAGTTATATTCATGTGTCCCTTCATAGACATCTGCCCAATTGGGTATGAAGTGCCTAAAGGGGGAAGGTTCCGGAGTGACCATCATCTGCAACTATTACTACTTTTCACTGCTGGAGTTTTTGTGCCACACCAGATTAGCATTTCAGGGAACCGGAGACTGTCAGGCTTTACTCTTCCCAAATGAAAGGACACATTCTCATGTTTTAGGTGTTCTTTACGTTAACCTTTTACCTGATAAATGTTGACATATTGACACAAATTGTTGTATATGTTTTGTACTCATGGTGATTCTATGAGTGGTGTCAAACCATCTTTGGTGAGGTAGATTTCTCTATTAGAGGAAGCTGATAGGGCTCTTGTCTTCTTTCCCCCACTAAATATTATGAATCAAAGAATTCTGAAGATAGTATCAGCAAGCCTGATAACTGCCATATGTTGTACAAGAGGCTTTTTTAGAGGATGTTCGATCTCTTTTCAGAACTGCACTATTAAAATTGCATTATATATAAAGCAATGGTATGTACTTATGGTGTCTATAGTTATTTAAGACAGATTTTTAAAGTTAAATCTCGTAGATAAAGAGTGAAACAATAAAGGTTCTCTTTTGATGAATATGGAAATCAAGTGAAAAACTCAACATATACCTACCTGGTAAGCCTTATCACAGTATTTTAGATATGCTGAGTGATTAATTGAAATTTTATCTTGAAATGTTTTACTATCATATAAAATTTTATTTTATTTATTTTTTTTAATTATGAGACTAAATAAACCTTTACTAATAGTTACCATTGGTGATACTGTCAAAAATCGGACTTAATAAAAAGTAGATGTACCTTGGAGAATTAGATTCGTATTTTGGAGGGTTTGAACATTTTATTAAGAATTTTGATTTTAGTATCACAGAAGACTAGAGTTTTCTCTAGCTAGGATTGGAATGATTATATTACATTAAATTTCTTCAAACATCTAGATTAAAATCTCAGCTCTAATTATGTGCTATGAAAGGACATGCAAAGTATTTGTATCTCAGAGGATGACACAGTTTGCCCATTTTGTGTAGTTTAAGTATAAAACATCCTACGAGAAAAATTTAAGGTTACAAAACTCAGAAATTAGGTACAGACTATCATAATACTCCTCAATATGGTGAAATCCTTGCCCAGTGACAATCTGATTTATTTTAAAAAAGTTTTAAGTAGTTGATCAAACAATGGTGTTATGTAGACATATGCATTCATGTGTTGTATAAGTGTAGCAGACATGAGTGAAAATGTCCCATTTTTCTGGTATAACAATATTTTCCCCCAAAGACTGTACATAAAGGAAAAAAATGTTTTAAAATATAGAAGAAATAGAGGACTTGGGGTCCTTAATATTCTAGAGTATAATTTTGATGTTGAGCTTGAATCACATCATAAACTTTTCCTGGTCTTTACTATATTTAAAAAAAAATTGTTTTGAGATGCTATAAAATCATAAATATATACTATTATTCTTTGTTCTTTGATGTGTAAATGAAATATCAGTATAACACTGACAAACTACCTGATACATTTGCTTTCTAATTTTTATTAAAAATTTTAATATATATTAATAAATAAGAAATAAACTTTAAATTAGAAAAAAAATATTAGATTAAGTACTTGAGCACAGCTTTCTAATTTACAGATTGAATTGACATTGACCCTAATCTATTGGTCTTTCCTCTGATTTTCTATACCTTCTGTCTGAGTGATTTTTGTCCAAATCGGTGGCTGTAACTACCACGTAGTCACTGTTAACTCCTAAGTCTCTATGTCCAGCCATAGTATACATCCAACATTTCTACCTGGCCATCCCATCTTGACCTCAAAGTCAATTTAAAATGGGAAAATCTGAGTTCAAAAATTCTCCCCACCACTCCCAATACAGTGTTTCATTTCACAGCAGATTGTAGCATCACCACCTTTCCCATCCAAACAGAAATCCTGGAGATCATCTTAGACTTCCTCTTTCTACCTTACTGTCTCAAATTCAGCAGTCACCAAGACTTCTCACTCCAGAGTCTTTACCATCTCTGGAATATGTCCTTCATTTTCATTCCACTGTGGACACTTCTGTATCACTCTTCCCCACCTCTTATTCATGAACTCTCTGTCTCCCTGCTTCTGGTCCTCCATCAATTAATATTCTGCACTGAACTGAGAGTGAACTTTCTAAATCTTCAGTATAGTCAAGTCATTATAATGCTTAGAGTCTCTTATGAGATTCCATAGATTTCTGAATAAGGTCCTGATTTCTTGGCTGAACCCAACGCTTTTGTTGAACTGGCCTCTGACACCTCCAGCACTATCTTTCCATCCCAGCCCCTGCTCCAGCCCAACTCACATGAGTCAAGTCTCATATACACTTGCTCTTTCACACCTCTGAAAGTGTTCTTCCCTTTACCTAAAATGCCAGTGTTCTCCGTCTGTCTTTAACTCCTGCCTCAGTGGTCTTGTTCAAATCTATGGCTATAAATACCATTTCTTCACTGTTGACTCCAAAATCTCCATGTCTGGCCCAGACCTTTCAGAAGAGCATCACATGCACACATACAACATTTTAATTTAACTGTCCCTGAATGACCTCAAACTCTAATATCTCCTTTGGCAAACTTTTCCTACTCCTGATAATCTGATTTAGATAAAACACTCTGTGCCTTCATAGTACCCTAACTGCCTATTGTGTTTATAATACTATATGGCAATCATCAGTTCTTAATTGTCTGCTTTCCTCATTAGATTGTAAGCTCCTTGAGAGCAGTATCTTATTGATTTAATCACTAGAGATCAACATAGGGCTTGGCGCATGCACATGCGCTCTTTCTCTACATATGTACACATATACAGATATATACACACACACACACACACACACACACACTCACACACACGCACATACAGAAATACATATATACACATATACAGATATATATATATATACACAGATATATATATACACACACACACACACACAGAAATACATATATACACATATACAGATATATATATATACAGAAATACGCATATACACATAAATACACATGTATACTTATACACACACACACGCAATGAAAATTTGTTTAAAGAGTGAATAAAAGCCTGAAGATCTTCAGCTCTTATAAGTCATATCTGTATTGGTTAAGGTACTTGAAAATAACTAATATGATCCCTATGGACTCTATTTAGAAATGTGGTCTCAATATTAAAACTAGATGAGTTAACAACTGTATAATTAGTGGAATGTCTTCAACCCGGATGATGTTTCCTGGTGAAATTTTGGCCTTATCATCTTAAACATTTTATCAATGACTGAAGACCATACATACGGAAACACTCATCTAAACTGAAGATAATATTTACACTCATGTATTCAGAAATGAAATTTCTGAATCATAGAGTATAAGTATATTGAACTTTAGAAGGCAAGGACAGTTTTCCAATTCTATTTCCATCACCTATGCGTGAGTTCCAGTTGCTTTTACATCCTTATCAAAACTTGATATTATCAGTAGTCATTTTAATTTTAGCTATCTGGTATGGGTATAAAATATCACATTGTGATTTTCATTTTAATTTTCCTGATGATTAATGCTGCTGAACACCTTTATATACATATATTGAACTTTTAGTTATCCACTTTTGTAGGTGCCTTTTCAAATTTGCTCACTTTAAAAAAAACTTGTTCATTTTTTTTCTCATTGATATGTAGACGTTCCTTACATATTCTATATAGAATTCTTTGTCAGATATATGTACTATGAATCTCTTCACCAATGTTTTGTCATGCATTTTTTACTTTCTTAAGTGTC